TGGCACCACTGAGCTAAATTCCAGGCCCCCACATGCCATCTTTCACCAAATGTCCTCGTGGATGTGGAAAGACTTCTTATTTCACTATTTTTACTCAGGTTCTGTATTACACAATTTGTAGAGTCCAGGCTTCTTAAAAACAAAAGAGCATTGCCCCAGACCTCCTGTTTCCTAGTCTCCTCAGGTGGCACTTTGTTGTCTTTGAAACTGATTTTTTTAGGGTTAACTTTCTTGTCTGTAATAATGTACTTGGCTTCCTGCTTATTTTCCAGTTTTAGGTAGTATCTGTTGACTCTGTTGAAATGTACCACGTGTACAGAAAAAGTGCCCAAATCATAAATGTACACGTTGATGAATTATCAGAAAGTGAACACATTTACATAAGACTGACCCAGGGTAGAAACATTTTGTGACTCACACACCCAGAAGCTTGCCTGCCTACCTCCCCACCCCCCACCCACCCCCCTTTTTTTTTTCAGTTAATGGGGATTGAACCCAGGGCCTTAACTCATGCTAGACAAGTACTCTACCACTTAGCTTTTCCCCCTAGCTTTTGCTTCTCCTTCTTTTGCTTCCCCTTTCAGATCATTATTTCTCATCCCCGAGGAAGCTACTGTGCTGACTTCTAAAACTATAGAATAGTTTTGTGTATTTGACTTTTTAACATTAAGGAAATCATACGGTATATTAGTGTCTTTTGATTTTATTTCATGCTGTTACCTTCTTCCATGTTTTCATGGTTCATCAGGCTTTGGTTTTGGTTTTGCATTGATTGATTGATACCAGGGATCGAACTCAGGACCTTGCACTTGCCAGGCAGGTGCGGCACCACTGAGCTACATCCCTGGCCCTAGGTTTTGGTTTTTTGAGATAGATCTCATTATGTAATTCAGGGTCTCAATATGTAGTTCAGGCTGCCTTGAACTCACTAGTAGCCCAGGCAGGCCTCGAACTCACAGTCCACTTGCTTCAGGTTGTCAAGTGCTGGGATTGCAGGTGTGTGCCCCTAAGTCTGTCAAAGCAGTTCATTAAGTTTAATTTTGAAGTTTTATTTTGTATACACTTGTAGTGGTTTGGGTTGGTATCAGCCTAAATTGTATCCCCTCCAGTTCCCGTGGTGAAGTCCTGGCTTCCAGTGTGACTGCTAATAGTCTTTATAGAAAGTTAAACAAGGCCATGAGGATGAGCCCTGATAAAGGATTTGTGTCCTTATGAGAAGAGCCACCCAAGAACTGGGTCTCTGCCCTCTGTGGACACAGTGAGAAGGAAGCTATCTATGAGCAAGCTAGAGAGCCCTAGCCAGTCCCAGTCCTACTGGCACCTGAATCTCAGACGTCAGCCTCCAAAACTCTGAGAAATGACATTGCTGTTGATGAAGAGCCCGTCGCTGGTGTTTTTTTAGGGTCTCCTCGGCAGACTGATAAACCATTCTTAAAGCCTCTGTGTCCCCTTGATAAACTTGGGATCTTTTTTTGCCTACTCTTTTAGTGGTTGTGGATGCTTTAGCCATTCACACCTTTCACAGGCAGGATGTTGGGATCTCTTGACCAGCAATACATTGTCAGGAAGCAGAAAATGAGGCTTTTTTTTCCAGTGGTGTCTGCTGGACCAGTTCTGTTGGGGATTACAGGGGAAGCCCTTCTCATGCGTGAGCTGTCTGTGTCTGTTTTGTAATTTTCCACTTCCTTCTGGCATCAGGGTGAATAGGTGGAATTTCCCACAACTTCACAGAGCAAGTAACAGAACACTTCTCTTTCCCCACCAAGTGAATATCTTGACTTCTGCTGTGTGCCCTTTGCACCTCGTGTGCCCTCGGAGCGAGTGGATAGTCTCCACCTTTCAGAGGCACCACCACAAGGGTGCCCCTCAGTGGCCCCTTTCAGTGACCTTAGGGTCTCACCTCCATCTGAGCGTTCCATGCTCCAAGCCTAGGTCAAGATTAGTTTGGTGGTTGAGTCATCAGAGCAGGGAGCTGGGAGGAAGAAGGCTTGGGACATCCCCCTCAGGCTTCATGGGTACACATACCATGTCCCAGGAAATAGTGATATTTCAGTCTGGCAGCATGTGGCTTAACAGAAAGACTGTTTTCTGTACTTTTTTGAACCTAAATGCAATATATTTGAGCTTCCTTTTGCATAGCAGTCCCTGAAGATGAAATATGTAAGAACAGAAGCAAAGTAGATTCTTTAGAATAGGAGGGTTTTGCACAGAACCAGAAGAAACAAGTGATTATGAGGCTGGAAGCCAAGTCTGAAAAGATGAGGGACAGCATGCATGCATGCATTCAGTACCCTGTGCTGATCTGATTGCCTGTCTCCAGTGGGGTGCAGTCTTGCCACTCAAATCAGTTTCCCTTTCTGCCACTTTTAAGTTACCAGCCCTGTAGAGAATCAGTGATTAGGGTGAGGGTGCATTAGACCAAGTAGCTGGGTATGGTGCCACATGCCTATAACTCCCTCATTTGGGAAGCTGAGGCAGGAGGATTGGAAGTTTGAGGCCAGCTGGCTATATTGTGAGTTTAAGGGCAGCCTGGACTATGTAGCAAGACCTTGTTAAAAAATAAAAAGCTTAAAAGAAAAAGAAGACAACAGAGAAGAAACACATATGATATGGCTATTCCCAAGGTATGGCGTAGTGGGACCCCCCTGGAGGTTTTCTGGGACCTTGTGAGAAGATTTCTTTTTTTTTTTGGACACAGGCTCTCCCTATGGAGATCAGCCTGGACTTAAAATCACTGTGTAGCCCAGGCTGGCCTGGAACTCACAGTGATCCTCCTGCCTCAGCCTCTTAAGTGCTGGGATTACAGGCGTGTGCCACCATGCCCAGCTTTGTTTTCTTTGTTACAATTTTTGTTTTGTTTTGTTTATTTTGTTTTGTTTGGTATTGGGTATTGAACCCAGGGCTTTGTGAATGCTTTGTGTAAACTACCGTGGAGCTCCATCCCTGGCCCCTGTAGAAATTATTTTTATATATTGAGTGATGGATGATCCTAGCAGGTGAAGATGCTGATGCAGGTCCATTTAATAACTACTAGTAATACTTTTTTATTAAAAAAAATTTTTTTTTGGTACTGGGGATTGAACTTAGGTCCTTGCACTTGTGCAGCAGGCAGCGAAACCACTGAGCTAAATTAAATCCCCGGCCCTTTATTCCTTTTTAAAAGAGAAATGCACATAAACAGGGACAGAAGTTCTTTGTGTATCTTGGTGGCTTTTCACCCTCTCCTGAACAGAGGTCACCAGGTGACACATTTGTTGTCTCTGTACACATTTCAGGGTTGCCCCACAGATTGTCTGAACAAGTCCCTTTCCTTAGCTGCCTAGAGGGTGTTCTGTTCTGTTCTGTTTCCAGATGGAGTCGTTCTGTTTTCCAGGTTGGACCCAAGCGGCCCCTGCCTCAGCCTCCTGAGTTCTGGACTCCGGGCATGTGCCACACTGTGCCAAGGCTTTTTTTCTAATTTTTAGTTTTTATATTTTATTTTTCCAAGTATATAAAAAATTGGCATTTCCACGTATAATATGGATTATTAGTGAAATATTTAATATTCTTTTCAAACTAAGTCTCCAAAACCTAGTGTGTATTTTGTATGCAGCACATCTCAATTTAGATGCTAAATTTTTAATAACTGAATCATACCAGAGCACTAGAGTTGTATTTAATGGAAAATATTTAACTTTTAATTAAAATGAGTTTAAATTAAATTTAAAGTATTTTCTTGGTAATACTACCCATGTTTCCAGTGCTTCATAGCCATGGATGGTTTTTAGCCACTATGTTAAACAGCTGATCTTTAGAAACTAGTATATGACCTTTTCACTTTTGCTAGTATTTGTAGGAACTTATGAAATATCCAGTTTCAATAAATATTGTCGGGGCTGGGGATTTAGCTCAGTGGTTCCACTACCTGCCTCGCAAGTGGAAGGACCTGAGTTCAGTCCCCGGTATCAAAAAAATAAAAAACAGGGCTGAGGATTTAGCTCCGTGGTTCCGGTGCCTGCCTTGCAAGCACAAGGTCCTGAGTTCGATCCCCCATACCAAAAACAAACAAACAAACAAAAATAAAAATTAAATAAATATCATCTGGTGCTTATTAGTTAAGAGGTCTTTTTTTTTTTTTTTTTTTTTTTTTTTTTGGTACTGGGGATTGAACTCAGGTCCTTGCATTTACGAGGCAGGTAGTGGAACCACTGAGCTAAACCCCTGGCTCTGAGGTCTTTTGTTTTTAATAAAATGTTATTAAAGTTTTTAGATTCAACACCAATCTGTTTGGACATTCATTCATTCATTCACTCATTCATTTTGCTTTTGTAAGACATCCTCTCATATTTTAGGCTGGCCTTGAACTTGCAGTGATCCTCCTGCCTCAGCCCCCTGAGTGCTGGAATTGCAGTCATGCACCACTAGGCCTGGCAAGGATACTTACTTGTTAAGCTGTTACTCTGTGCAGGATACTTAGGGGTGTATGCTGGGCTGAAAACACTGACAAAGCCCAGTTCCTGTCCCAGGGTCACAGAGTCAGTAACCAGTGAAGGGGGCTTGCCTCCTGCTAGCATGCACCGGGCCCTGGGTTTGATCCCCAGCACTGAAGGAAAAAAAAGTAGTGAAAAGATGTGCTATACTGCATATGTTTTAGAAATGTTTTCCTTGTATGAGCTCTCTTACTTTTGGGGGAGGTGGTACAGAGAAGTTTAGAAGAGATTGTTTTGTTCCTCTTTTCTATGTAAATAGTTAAATATAAAATATTACAGTAGTACCATTATTTTGCACGAAGTCTATTGTTTGTTTTGTTTTTTGGTACTGGGGATCGAACTCGGGACCTTGTGCTTGTGAGGCAGGCGCCAGAACCATCTATTGTTTGTTAGCAGCGGAGTTTTAGGTTCTGAGGTTTGCTTGTTTGCTTTTTGACAGTGCTGTATGTGTGGGCATTTATAAAATGATTACCAATTAGTCTGTAATCAGCAAATTCTTAAAATCTATGAATATTTATTAATGTTTTCTAGGTTGCCATAAAAATAATTGACAAAACGCAGTTGAATCCAACAAGTCTACAGAAGGTAAGATTGGTCCAGTATTTTTCAATGTTTTTTTGTATTAATTGCCATCTAATTTGTCCCTTAAATATCTTTTAATTTATTTTCATGATCTTCTGCATTCTGTTTGCCAGTATTTTATTGAGGATTTTTGTGTCTGTGTTCATTAGGGTCTTGTTTCTGATTTTAGCCTGAAGGATTTCAGTTTTTGACCATTTAGTAATTTTTATTCATTTTTAATGCAATAAAGTTTTCTATTCCTCAAATAAATGTAACTCAAATGGAGTATTTTATTGAAATGATTGGGTTATCTTCAGTTAAAGATAATGATTTTTTTCAGTTGCAGGTGATTTTTAAATGTTAAAAGCACAAATTGAAGACTACTTTTAAATAGCATATTCTAAATTTTGACCGCAATAGAATTTTTAAAAATACAAAAATACTTTTATGTACTTGGTATTATGCAGATTTGTGTGTGTTTTTTACAGCTAATACAGAAATCTTTTGAGGTATGCATTTTGGCCAGGCATAGTGGCACACACCTTTAGTCTGCACTATTTGGGAGGCTAAGGCAGGAGGATGACTGGAGCGCAGGAGTCTGAGACCAGCCAGGGCAATACAGCAAGACCATTTTTTTAAACTTTCTATTCTTCCTATATCTAGCAACTTAACACTACCACAAAACAGATTACTAAAATTTAGTACTGTATTTAGAACTCAAACCTTAAAATTTCTTGAGGACTTTTAATTCAGTATTCTGTGGTTTTACAAATCTTCCACTTTTCCTGTGTACCTGGAGAGAATTGGAACTCTAGCAGTTTTCCGTGAAAAGTTTTATCACATTGTTGTCTCAGGTTGACTATAATTTTTTCTTCCTTTTTGCTTGGTTTTATTTTTTATCATTTTTGGTCATCACATTTATTAATTTTTTATTTTTTGGTACCAGGGATTGAACTCAGGACCTTGTGCTTGTGAGGCAGGCGGAGGAATCACTGAGCTAAATCCCCAGCTGGTCATAGTATTTAATTGTTGCTATTTTTATTATTATTCCATGTTACTGTTGGTTGCATCGTTGTCAACTTAGTACAGGGTTGGTTGTCCAGTTAGCCCAATATTGTGATGATGCACATTTGAACCAACATTAATTTTGGCTTATCATAATCTAATACATTAAAGCTTTTAAGATTGGTTTGTAGTATAATTCCAATGTGACTCATCTGCTGAAGACATCCCAAAGCTAGGTCTATCCAAGTTATTTAATTGATAAGTATGCTATACTCAGCTTATATGGCATTACTTAAAATGCTATGTGCAAATTCCTAGTCTTCTGTTACAAAGTAAATTAGAAGCATTCTTCATATGTTTATGTCAAGTTCTTTTTCACTGAATTCTTTTCCATGATGGAAGAATGGCAGCAGGGTGTGGTGTACATGACAGCTTTGGCCTCCATCTTTAGAGTAATGTTCTTACATCTTATTTCCTTCCCGACACAACTCACAATTGTATCATACTGGCACCAGGAGCAACTCAAATCAGGACTTAAATTTAGCCGGAAGCTGCCCTACATGCTAATATTCACTATGAGGAACATTGTGCCTTCGGCAGTATGCAGTCCATTTGTGCTGCCACTATCCAGAGACATGCAACAGCTTGTTGAGGCAGAATTTGAATGCAGGTTAAGATGGTGTCTTTTTTCACAGTGTTCAGGTTGACACACTTACATATACCTGTACATGTAAGTAAACCAGAGTTGGCTGCAGATTTGCAAACTGACAACTGTTGCCGCAGATGAGTCTCTTCATTTTTTCCTCGGTGGTTCTCTACCCATTGTGTCAATGAATGTTAATTCTAGGAAGATTTATTTTTCTTTATACTTTTGTACTTATTATCTTCTAATTACTCTTCCAGGGATACTATTCTGTTCATGAATGTCTTTTCAGTAAACTTTTAAAGAATTATGTAATGTTGTGTAACCTGTAATGGTTTTGAAAATAAAAATCTTAGTCTTCTTACTGGTCTTATTTTTATTTATTTATTTTTGTGGTACCAGGGATTGAACTCAGGTCCTTGCGCTTGTGCAGCAGGCAGCGAAACCACTGAACCCTAAATCCCCGGCACTACTGGTCTTATTTTTAGATTCAGTTTGGTTATATATCAGGGAACCTTGCTGGATCTTGTCTTAATAAATCCAAGGCTGTCATTAAGAAGCAAGTCATGTCTCATTTTAGGGAAAAAAATGTGTTTACCTGTTCAGAAATACTGTATTAAGACATGTCAGTACATCTGAAGTCATTAATTCTCTCTTTCAGTCTTGGGCATAGATGACTCTTAGCACAGGCAGAAAGCTTAGGAGTGTGAGGAAGCCAGACTATGTAGATTTAAATCCAGACTTCAACTCTGCTGAGCTGCGTGTAGAGTAACTTAACCTCCCTGAGTCTCTATACAGCTTCTCAGAGAGTTGTAGTAAGTAATTTAGTTAATATTTTAAAACCCCTTAGCAGAGTTTAAATAATACCTGGCCTGGGTAAGGGCTCTGAGCACTTGCCATTATCACGTGCTCAGCTGAAGAGCTGGTTTGGGGGCTGGTTATGTTTTTGTTTGCTTAAAATTTCCCCTTCATAGGAAATAAGCAAAACTTTAAAACTGAATGATAAATTCCAGCTAGGTCTTTTTGGTAGGACCTAATTGTGACAGATTACTTCTGATAATAGTGATTTGTTAATATTTTCACATTCAATCTATGTATATGCTGAACACCCTCCCTCCCTCCCTCTCTCTCTCCCTCTCTCCCTCTCTCTCTCTTTCTCTCTTTCTCTCTCTCTTCCTCTCTCTCTCTCTCTCCCTCTCTCTCTCTCTCTCTCTCTCTCTTTCTTTCTTTCTTGGGATCGAACTCAAGACCTTATACTTTTGAGGCAGGCTCCAGAACCACTAAGCTAAATCCCCGGCTGCTGAACACTTTTTTGAGTGCTTCACTTGTGTTTACTAATTTAACCTTTACAACTTCATGAAGTGAATTCTGTTGTTAAGGAAAAGGAGTTTCCTAGCTGGTTACAGAAAGGATGGACACTCTGCCAGTCAACCTACAGTAGCGTAGTTAGCATTGAGTCCAGCATTGTGAACTCCACATGTAAGCAAGTTTGTCATAGTTCCGGTGATAGAGAACTGACAGTGAGGATGCGAGGATCGCTAGCATTGGGATTCCTTGTCATCAGTCACCACTTAGAAGCCCTGCCATCTCTCTTTAGCTAGTCTGTTAGATATCCCTTTACCTTTACACTGTTGATGGATTGCTGCTATCCTCGCTTTCCTCTGGGAAAACAGACTCCTAGTAAACTTTCCTCATCCAGCCAACACATACTTGTGTTGAACATCTGCTATGTGTCAGGTAGTGTTCTGTGAATACGATATGCAACTAAATGAAGTTCCTGTTTTAATGGAATTGACATACTAGTAGGGAGCAATAGTAAACAGATTTATATGTCATGTGAGCACTATGAAGAAAATGATAGCAGGGCTATTATTAAATATATTAACTCTGTTTTCTTTTCTGTAGTCTTGATGTTCTGCCATCTGAAGCCTTGCTGGCCCCTCCCAGGGTAAACTGATTCCTAGAAATAAGAAACTGCTGCCCTGTGACTGTGTCTTTCGGATGCCAGCCAGGCATTTCAGAGCCCATGCTTCAAACCACCACCTCTTGTCTGGCTCTTACAGTCCGGCAGGCAGGATCCATCTACCACAATCATTGCAGGGCCCTGTGGCGAGCAGCTCAAGATAGCACCCCAGAGTGTGCTGGGATTACTCGGAATCGGCAGGCCTCGCCTGTTCATCCTGGCTTGCCTGTCCCATAATATAGGCCCTATGGGCTGGGGTGTAGCTCAGGGGTAAAGCACTTGTGTAGCATGTGTGAAGTCTTGGGTTCCATACCTACCACCACAACCCCCAAAGGCTTATCCTTGTCTTTTTTATTTCCTTCTGCCTCTTGCTGGACTATGATGCTTTCCCTGTGCAGGTGACCCTGGGTGGTAGGGTAAGTCCTCTCCTTTTGGGAACTGTGAGCCCAAAATTGTCTAAAATTCAGTGGCAGTCATCTCCTGATCTCTGGGCCTCTAATGAAAGGTGGGGGGATCTTCTTAATAATTCATTTCAGAAACACCCTTGTTCTCCTGAACCAGGCTTTGTGAGTCTCTGCTAAATCAGATAGAGCACCTGACTCTGGCTCAACCCATGTGATATGCAGTAAGATTCTGTCTAGACCTTGAGGGCCCTTTGAAGGAGAGCAAGGACCCTTGTGGAGCACACCACACTGCTCAGAACAGTGTTGCTTTTTTCTTTGGTACTGGGGATTGAACTCAGGACCTCGTGCTTATGAGGCAGGCGCAGTGCCACTGAGCTAAATCCCCAACCCAGCACAGTCTTTCTTACTTGGTGGCAGAGGATTGCACACAGCCCTGGGAGGCCCACCACAGGCTGCTGAGGTCCTGATCCCACTGCCTCTGCTCACTGTCACTACACTATGACACAGCCAGTACCATCTTTCTCTTAAGCCATAACCACTTCATTTAAAACAAAGTCTGTAACATGTTGTAAAAATAATTAATTTTTTAAAAAATAATTCATGGGTGGGTGATTTAGCTCAGTGCCACCTGCCTTGAAAGCATAAGGTCCTGAGTTCAATCCTTGCTACCAAAAAGCAAGCAAACAAATAAATAAATAAAAATACATTTGTGCTGGGTGTGGTTATGTACACCTGTAATCCTAGCACCTGGAAGGCTGAGGCAGGAGGATTGCTATGAATTCAAGGCCAGCCTGGGCTACATGGTGGTACTGTCTCAAAGAAAGAAGACAACAACAACAAACGCACTTCTTTGCCTGACTCATTCGCCAGCCTTAAGCACATCCAAGTGATGGCTCCTTCCAGCACCTTCTTCTCCTGGTGATGGACAGCTCTGTATTAAAGTTTTCCCCAGTGATGTAGAACAGCATCTGTCATGCTGAATCTTCTATAATACTGGTCTCTTTTGTCATATGGAGTTTCCGAGGCTAAATCCACCGTTCCAAACATAGCCAGCCCCTTGAGATTGCTATTTTGGTTCTTCCTGATTTTTCCATCTCCAGAATAAATACTCAGCTGTTTGGCCACCCTTAGGAGTTGCTCTCGACAGAGGCTTGGTTTATTTCACATACTTGGAATTAATGGTTTTCCTTACCTGTGCTCAGTGATTTTTTGCTAATTGGGTTTTCTGTCATAATTCCAATCTATTGGGACTCTTTCCCCCATACCCCCACAGTGCTGGGGATTGAACCCAGTGTCTCACGTGGTAGACAAGGGCCCTGCCACTTGAGATACCTGCTTCCATGGTATTGGAGCGATTTTGCATAATGAATCTTTTTTATTAGCTGTCACTTCCATCTTCTAAATTGGATGTGGATGTCTTCATCCAATTAAAATTCTTAGCAAGGCAAGGACAAAGGCCTTTGAGTGGGGAAGCCATTCTTCCAAGATGATAGTACTGATACAGTAGTGAAACAAAAGCACATTTGAGGGCCCAGGGGTTTAGCTCAGTGATGCTGCCTGCCTCACAAGCACAAGGTCCCGAGTTCAATCCCTGGTACAACCCCCCCCCCCCAAAAACGTTTGAGTAAGATTCAACCCACTTTTTTTTTTTTTTCCTTGACAGGGTAATACTGTAGCACTAGCTGAGATCAAACTTGCAACAGTCCTTTTGCCTCAGCTGGGATTAGTCTAGCATGGTCACACCTGGCTCACTGGATCAGTATTAAATTTATTTAGACTTTTGTGTTCTCAATTTAATCAAATTTACTGAAGAAAGAGATGAATACTTGGGCCAGGGCTTTAGCTCAGTGGTGCCGCTGCCTGCCTCGCAAGCACAAGGACCCAAGTTCGATCCCTGGTACCCCCCCCCAAAAAAAGAGATGAATACTAAGTATAATTACTGTATAGGCAAAATGCATAGTAGGTTACCAGATATTTATTTATTTATTTATTTATTTATTTTTGGTGTTAGGATTGAAGTACATTCTCAGCCCTTTTTTCTTTTCTTTTTTTTCTTATTATTATTTAAATTCTTTTATTGGTACATTTTAGGTATACAACACATTTACATTTCTCATTGGGAACATGTACCTTTACATGATGCATCTTGGTTCTTATTTTTTTTCCCATTCCTAGCCCTCCCTTTACCCCCTCCACCCTTCCCTATTTACAAAGACTTTGTTTCCATTTTTTCCATTTCTCATCATTTTTCCTTTCCCTTCTTTCTTTTCCCCTGCCCCTCGCACTAACCCTAACCTTTTGGACCTTTTCTTCCTATTTTGCATTATCAATTATTCATTTTAATCATTGGTACATTTTAGGTATACAATATAATGACATTCATCATTGGAAATTTGCACCTTTATATAATCTCTCTTGGTTTTTATTTTTCACCGTTGCCCAGGCCTCCCTTCAACCCCTCCATCCCTCCCTATTTACAAAGATTTTGTTCCTATTTTTCCATTTTCTCATATTCCATTCCCTTCTTTCCTTTCCCCTACCCCTCCCACTTCCCCTTCCCCTTTGCCCCTTTTCTTCCTATTAACCCTTTTTTCTTCTTTTAAGTTTTTTTTAGGGGGTACTGGAAATTGAACTCAGGACCTTGCACTTGCAAGGCAGGCGGCAGAACCACTGAGCTAAATCCCCAGCCCCTTTTAGATTGTTTTGAGACAAGATCTTGCCATATCACCTACTTAGCCAGGCTGAGGTTGACTAAGTCTTCCTGCCTCAGCCTTCCATAGTGCTGGTATTATAGGCATGTACCACCACACCTGCTGCTAGATGAATTTTTTTTTTCTTTGGTACCAGGAATGTAACTCACGACCTTGTGCTTGTGAGGCAGGTGTGCCACTGAGCTAAGTCCCCACTGTCTTTTTTTTGTTTTTTAAATGCCTGGTCTTTGCTGCTGTTGGTGGTGCACACCTCTAATCCCAGCACTTAGTGAGCTGAGGTAGGAGGCCATGAGTTTGAGGCCAGCCTGGACTACATCATAGTGAACTCAAGGCCATACTGAACTATACAACGAGACCCTGTCTCAAAAAACCGAATGAATGAATGATCAGCCAACCAACCAACCAATGAACGATCTTTGTCTTAGAACTATTCTTGGTGCTTAGAGTTCTGTAGCAGTGCTGGCTGTTTTGGTGTCCCAGGGAATCTTTGTTGTGGGTCATCCAAACTTTGAATTTGAAAGTAAAGATAACCAGTTCATGGCTTTCATTGGTCCTTAGTGTAATTACTTTTAGTGCTGCCACCACTGAGCTGTGTAGCACACTGTCTCTTCAGCTTCCTTAAATGAGTAGTTTCTAGTCTGTGCTGTTTATTAGAATTATTTGTGAAGTTTTAAAAAACCAAAAGCACCCATTTCTTGCACAGTACAGGAATTTGCTGCTAGAGATCCTGTTAGGAGTGGAGCGATCCAAGGCACAGTGGGTGGGAGTGGCTCATGGAGGCGCTTGGTGCCAGAGACTGGCATCCTGGGGGTCTGCTCTGAACTGGACTGTCTCTCTCCACTGCCACGTGTTCCCCTCCCTGTAGTCGGGACGCTGTAACATCTGGCTCCTGGACTCCTTTCTGCATCATTTCGGGAATCTTGGTCATTGAACAGCTGTTCATCTTTTTTCCTTTTTCTCTTCCTTTACTTTTATATTGTTTTTCAGCAAGCCAGCAGTTCAGACCGTTAACAGAAGTAGTTAATGGGCCAGGGATTTAGCTCAGTGGCGCTGTGTCTGCCTTGCAAGCACAAGGTCCTGAGTTCAAGCCCCTGTACCGCAAAAAAAAAAAGTAGTTAACACAGCCCTACCTGTTACTTGCAGTTAGTGTCTACATTCAGATTAGTGCCATGGATCTGAAAAAGTAATACAAGCAGGGCATGTTGAGAGACAATTATATGTTATATTCTTTTTCTTTTTGGTACTGAGGATCGAACTCGGGACCTTGAGCTTGCGAGACAGGCAGTGGAACCACTAAGCTAAATCCCCGGCCCGAGACACAATTATATATAGTTAAAATACTGAGATAAAAATGTATGGTTGCTGAAAAGTAAGACTCTTCCACCCTGATTCAGATGGGGTGATAGGTAAGGCAGAGATTCCTACACCCTGATGGGTGCAAGCAGCCTGGAGTCTAAATGCCTAGACTGACCACACCTTGTCTTCCTCCCTCTCCAAAGCGTGCATACTCACAGTCAGCCGTGTCAGCCGTGGACAGCCTTTAAATCCTCCACAAGTCCCACAGCAAAAGTTAGCTCTTTCCTCGCTTCCCGTAATACTCCATCTTTTCCTGGTTTTGACTTTAATTCACTTTGTCTCAGTTCTCCTGCTGCTCATAGAAATTTTTAAATGAACAGAACTGGGGGGGAAAAAAAAGCAGAACTGGCTGAGTGTGGTGGCCCACACCTGTAATCCTAGCACGTTGGAAGCTGAGGCAGGGGGATCACCTAGAGTTCAAGGCCAGTTTGAGCTACATAATGAAATCCTGCCCCACCCCTCCAAAGAGCACAATAATGACTGTTCTCTGGTGGCACTCTGCTTCCAGGCTTTAAGCAGTGAGGTCATTAGAATGCTAAGGAGGCTGGCATAAGCCCCAGTTCTTGGTAGTTAGTGCTTTCTTGCAGATATTACCAAATAAATGCATTCTTGTTGTGTGCCAGGCTTGGTCATGGTTAACAGGTATACAAAAATGCATTATGACAACTTGAAGGACATCTGAGGGAAGAAGTGAACAGATAGCTCTGATGTAAGACAAAGGAGACCTACCTACCGGATAGTCCCGAGAATGTGCCTGAGACTTGAAGGATAAAGAGACTGGGAAGAACCAAGCGTGTCCTAGTAACTGGGAGGAGTGAGGGTGCCTGCAGCACGGGGCAGGGCTGGGAGGCCACAGGCGGGGCCTACATACCAGGCTGTGTCGGTGTGTCCGCGTGCAGGCATTTGGGAAGCCCAAATAGAGTGACATTCAACTGTAGAGGATTTCTGTCCTAGCTGGACAGCAGGAAGCTATAAAAGAACTCAAGTTTGACTGTTGGTTAGATATGTAGGTGGCTGTCTTCTCATCTCAGGACACAAAATGTGGGAATGGCCACAATAGGAACGGGGATTTATGTTGAAAATAAAAGTGCTACTGCCTCTAAAAATGAGCCACTGTTTTACATAGGAAAGGTTATTCATCACATTCCATGTCCCTGCCTTCTGACTTCCAGTAGTATTTCAAAGCCTTCCCGGGGCCACTTGTCCTTGGCTGCCAATTTCACTCTGGTCAGACGAAGTCAGTGGGACATGTGCAGGGGGAGTCCCAAGGGCTTTCATCTCCTCATTTTTGTGGCTCATCAGGGTCATTATTACAGCCTCCATGCTAAGTCACCCATATTCTCCAGCGAGAATTTCTCAAGTTGGTTTTGTTTAAAATCTTATCTGAGAATCATTTGTAACTCAGTTTATTATGTCCTTGAGGTAATTCATCAGGACTGTGTATGTTTTAATTCACAGAATGGAACCCTGGGTAGATAACTGGGTCAGGCTTTAATCACTGTTCTTGCCCAAACTGACATCATGTTTTTAAGATAAAATAAAATTTAGAATGTTGCACTATCCTTCTCAGGACCACTACTGTTTTCAGAAATGGCAACATTTAGGGATACTATTTGGTAATAAGTTATAAACCTGCTTCAGAGTCACTCTGGATTTTCATTTAGAGATGCGGAATAAAAACAGCAAGAATCAGTTATCTAAGAGAAAATTTAAACTTATATTGCAATAATGGAGTATAATGTTTAATAACTTGTATTGGGGATTGTCTTTTGCTTTTCCTTTTGTTTTGTTTTTTTATAGCTCTTCAGAGAAGTAAGAATAATGAAGATTTTAAATCATCCAAACATAGGTACTTTCTGCTTTGTTAAATACTTTTGGATTGAAATGTGTTCTTGAAAGTACGTCATAAAGCTAAACATACTATATTCCTGAAATGATTAAAAAGGGACTCCCCCAGCCTAGTTACACTTTTAATAAAATATATATATGTTGTTGGTTATTTGTATTAGCTTTTCGAAATTACTAAAGACAGGTTAAAAGGTTAAGTATTAACCATTTAAACTTAAAGCTTTAATGCAGTAGAAATATAATTTTCTAATTTTTTTTTTTTTTTGGTACCAGGGATCGAACTCAGGTGCTTGCGCTTACACAGCAGGCAGCGAAACCACTGAGCTAAATCCCTGGCCCTAATTTTCTAATTTTTAATGTGATAGAAAATGTAGTTAATCTCAGCACTCCGGAAGCTGAGACAGGAGGATTGTAAGTTCGAGGCCAGCCTGAACTACATAGTGAGACTCTGCCTCAAAAAATCAAAAGAAAGGGCCGGGGATTTAGCTCAGTGCTTTCGATGCCTGCCTCGCAAGCGCAAGGACCCGAGTTCGATCCCTGGTACCAAAAAAACAAAAACAAAATGAAAGATAGAGACAAAAAAGAAAAGGAGAAAATATAATTGTATTTAATTAGTACCTAGGAAGGGTAGAATTATATGAAGTCAGAATTAATATTATTTAGGGCCAGGGATTTAGCTCAGTGGTTCCACCACCTGTCTCACAAGCATGAGTTTGATTTCCGGTATCAAAATAAATAAAAATAAAATAAAAAATTTTTATGTGACTATTTCTAAGAAAATGCTAATATATTGAGTCACACTTAAAAAGTGAAATAGAAGTTTCATGTTCCTCTCTGTACACAGCTCTAAGGATGAGGAAAGGTCCTGGCCACATAGTAACTGCAGGAGCAAGGTGGAATATGTGGGTTGTTTGATATTGACCCTCTGGAACTTTTAAATCCACATACTTCATAATCTGGCTCTTCAAATAATATAACTGCATTTTTCTGTAGTAATAGCTCCATCGGCTAAAAATATTGTTTCATGAATTAATGAGAGGTGATGTTTAGGCACAAGAATAATGTGGAACCACTGGAGGGAAAAAGCATTTACACACAGCTTCTTAATTTGGATTATATACCTGAACAAAAGGCTTATCCCCCCCCCCCCGCTCCTTTTTTTTGTACCAGGAATTGAACTCAGGATCTTGTGCTTGAGAGGCAGGCAGTGGAACCACTGAGCGAAATCCCCGACCCTATATCTATTTTGTCAAGACAGGACGATGCTACCAGGTCATCATCCTAGTATCCACAATACTAATTAAAATGTGAAAAACTACACATCTTAGAAACTGAAATATCTGTTTGGAGAAAAGAAAGATTACAGGGAATATAGTGAAAATGTTCATTCTTTGCTTCTTACTTCAACCTTTTGAGGTTAGCCAGCCAACTCTGGATTTCAAATTTCACACACACACACACACCCCGTACTTTCTTGCCTAGAATTAAATGTATTTTCCTTTTAATATCTTAAATTATACCCTACTTAGCATTCGGTACTTGCTAAATGACATATCTTTGATAGTAGGTTGACTTTTTTTTTTTTTTAACTCAGGTCCTTGCGCTTGCGCAGCAGGCGGTTAACCCACTGAGCTAAATCCCTGGCCCTAGATTGACATTTTTAAAAGTTTCTATTGAAGCCAAATATGGTGGCTTATACTTGTGATCCTAGCACTTGGAAGGCTGAGGCTGGAGGTGTGAGTTTGAGGCCAGCCTGGACTACATAGCAAGATCCTGTCTCAAAAACAAAAAAATTCCCATTTCATAGAAGTAATTTTCCTAGAAGAACCAGAATTTATGTTGGAAAATTAGAAGGATTTCATTTTATGTTGCTTGTTTACCAACATGCCTTAACTTTCTTTAATGGTTTTTTCTGACATTGTGAATCTATCTGAGTGTAAGGAGTGGTCTGATAGTTCTGTTCATCAGTTTATCAAACATTTATTGATTAAACTGGGTATGGTGCCGCATACCTGGGAGGCTGAGGAAGGAAGATTGCAATGAGTTTCAGGCCAGCCTGGGCTACATAGTGAGTTCAAAGCCAGGCTGCGTTACAAAGTAAGACCCTGTCTTAAAAAAACAAAACAAAGCCGGGGATTTAGCTCAGTGGTTTTGCCACCTGCTGCGCAAGCGCAAGGACCCGAGTTTGATCCCCGGTACCAAAAAAAATCCCAAAAACCCACTAGCAGAAAATTGCTGATTACTCTTTTGAGCACTTCAGTCTAGATAATAGTCTACTAAAGCATCAGAAAATCATTTATAATAAATGAACTAGCATCCCCCTTCTCTTTTGGGTAAGTTTAATTTTAATGTATTAACAAAGTATATATACAAAATGATGACTAGATAGCTTTGGAAACACACACACAATTGTGTAACCTTTATGAATTACCAATAGTAGAAATATTATTTCTATCTGAAATAAGGAACTGATATAGCAAAATCACACTGACCCCTTGAAAAATCATTCTTTAAAAAAGCTCTCTTCGTTTAATTGCCATATAATGCCTTCTACCTCTTTCCATTTCTGGCCTTAGAACGGTAACAGTAACAAACAACACTGAAATTTGCAATAATTTCCCCAAGTCACAAAGGTCTTGGTTGGAATCACTTGCTTTAGGCCATGGTGCCTTTGAGGAGGCTCACACTTACAGGGGTAGAGTAACCCTGGCCACCCCTTGGGCTCAGAGACATGGGGTAAGTCTCTAGGAGTGTTGGCAATGAACTAGCATAGACACCATCACAAGCAGTAGTGAGGGTATACCTGCTGCACTGCTGAGAGCATTTGGACACCCAGAAACAATATTTTTATAGAATTTTTTCTT